CTTCCGCACAGTATTGCATACTGCAGTACAGTACACTGCATTATTGCATAGTATAGTACAATACCGCACAGTGCAGTACACAACCGTACAGGGCACTCCAGTACACTACTCTATACTACACAAAACTACAGTATGGTACAGTACAATATGCTACCCAATCAAACAGTATAATGTATCCCACAAGTTACCCAAGCACTTACGAACGTGTACATCTTTCCTCAATCTTTGACGGCTTTGGTTACATATATTAAACAGTTTACAAGCATGAAAACTTGCCAATCAACTGTTGTTATTGTTATAAACAGCCTCCTGGTGCTTCGGAGCTCATTAACTGTTTAATAATTGTAAACAAAGCCGCCAAAGATTGAGAAAAGATGTATACGTTCGTAAGTGCTTGCGTAACTGCTTCGTGAATCTGACCATAGCCCGTCCCTATAAATAAAGTCCATTCCATCCACCCGCCAAACCCCTCAGCTGTTTATAAATGAAAAACGGTTTACACACGACTCACAACTGATGACATCCGAGCACTTCCGGAACAAGTGCTTCACTCACGTTCTCTGTTCGAACCGCAATTCAATAAATGCTTCACCCACGTACTACAAATAATCAGTCAGACGCCTCACCTAACCCTCGCCGATATAAATATACATACAATTTTAATGTATAATAATAATATTAATTTATATATTAGAACAAATCTCTATGCACACTGATATTGATCCTGATCAAAATCTTCTGTCTCATATCTATACCAACCAGCACATTGATCATCATTATTGTAAGTATTTCACAGCACACCAGGCTAAAAACAAACTCCAAAATAGCACCTGTCTATCAGTTTATAACCAAAATGTTAGATCACTTGGTAAACATTTTGACGATTTAAATGCACTACTCACAGCACTAGGTACTAACCTATCGTTCATTATTTTAACAGAAACTTGGCTAAATAAAGACTATACCCAACTCTACAACTTAGCTGGTTATAAAGCCATTCATAACTGTAGGCCTAATAAAAAAGGTGGTGGCACAGCTATATATTACCGAGATACATTTATCTGCAACAGTGTTATTAGTGACAGAGATGACTACTGTGAATATACTTTTGCTCAGTTTACAATTAAATCCCTTAAATCCTCTTTGACTATTGGAGCCATCTATAGATTTCCTAATACTAACATAGCTTCTTTCTCAGACAACCTAAGGAATCTTATTATAAACAACAATCTCAACAAAAACCACATCATTCTGGGAGGAGACTTTAATATTGACCTGGGTCAACAAAACTGCTCTCAAGTTGACTATTTCGTTAACAGCATGAACTCCTGTATGCTAATCCCCACTATCACCAAACCTACCCGAGTCACTCAAACATCAGCCACTACCTTGGACCACATATGGACAAACATAACAGCTCCCCTTGTATCTGGTATAATCTACGACAGAACAACTGACCACTATCCTACCTTTCTCATAGCGAACATGGACATAACACCACCAAAAAGCAAGAAACTTTCATTTAGGCTACACAGTGAATCAGCTTTAGACAATCTTACAGAGGCACTTCACAATATTAACTGGGATTCTGAATTCAATAATACCCATGATATAAATTCATTAGCTAACCTCTTCCTCTCCAAAACTCTAAGCCTCTACAACCTTCATTGTCCCCTTCTTACAAAGCAAGTAACTGACAAAAGATTAAACAATCCATGGCTCACAAGTGGCATTCTCAACTCAATCAACAAGAAACATGAATATGAAAAGAAAGTTAGGATTGGCCTAGTTTCAAAGGAAGTAGCTAAAAGGTACTCATCAATGCTTACCAGTATCATAAGAAAGGCAAAACTTGCATATTATGTGAATAGATTCAATGAAGCAAAAGGCAACATGAAAAACACTTGGAAAACTATCTCTAGTATCCTAGGAACTAAACAACACTCACATAACCAAATAAAACTCTACAAGGATGGGGATATACCGTCAACTGATTTAGAAATGGCAAATGAATTTAATAGTTTCTTTTCATCGGTTGGTGCTAATCTTGCCAGTAAAATCCCACAGACTCAGACACATATTAACACATATCTCTCAGGCAGCTATCCAAACTCTCTTCTCCTTTCACCAATCAGCCCGGCAGATGTTGTGTCCATCATACACTCTCTAAAAACCAAGGCAGGGAACACCAGTGAAATTCCGTCCATTGTGTACAAGAGAGCCTCCCATGCCCTTGCCCCACCCATAGCACTACTGTTCAACAAATCTATAGAGTGTCACACCTTCCCTGATATCCTCAAAAAAGCAAGAGTAACGCCAGTCCATAAAGGAGGCAATCCGGCGGACATAAACAATTATAGACCAATATCAAATCTACCCATTCTATCAAAAATATTTGAAAAAATTATTTACAAACAGCTCTATTCCTACCTCGTAAAATTCGACATACTCAGCCCCTGCTAGTTTGGCTTCCGGTCCCAAAAGAGTACCAATGATGCAATCATTAGTCTCCTTGACATTATCTACTCAGCCCTTGACAAAAATGAGTTTCCGATTGGACTCTTCATTGACCTAAGAAAAGCCTTTGATACTGTTAATCACAACTACCTCTTACTTAAACTCCAGCATTATGGAATCCGAGGCCTTGCCCTTGACTACATCCGATCCTATCTTAGTGACAGACACCAATATGTAACCATCAATGATACAACTTCTTCCACTCTACCAATTACCGTTGGAGTGCCACAGGGCAGCATCTTAGGACCTCTTCTATTTCTTATATATATAAACGATCTGCCTAATGTCTCTAATATTCTCAAACCTATATTGTTTGCTGACGATACTACCCTTATCTACTCAAACCTCAACCCACATACACTAAATAATGTTGTGAATAATGATTTAAAAAAAGTCAACTTATGGATGTCAACGAACAAACTAACATTAAACATCGAAAAGACTTACTACATCTTATTTGGAAGCAAATCATCAAATGCAATTCAGCTACAGATAGACAACATTAACATCAGTAATAAAATGATGGCAAGTTTCTTGGCCTATTCCTAGACAAGAGACTCAACTTCAGCACCCACATTCAACACATAACTAAGAAAGTCTCTAAGACAGTTGGTATACTCTCCAAAATCAGATATTATGTTCCTAACTCTGCTCTCCTCTCACTATATTATGCACTAATCTACCCCTATCTTAATTATGGTATCTGTGCATGGGGGTCTACCACTGCAAACCACCTTAAGCCCATCATCACACAGCAAAAATCTGCTATCAGAATAATAACTAACTCTGCTTTCAGACAACACTCAGCTCCCTTGTTTAAATCTCTAAACTTGCTAAATATTAACTCCCTCCACACATTCTCTTGTGTCAACTACATTTACAAAACCCTGTTCTTAAATGCAAACCATGCTCTGAAACTCTCCCTGGACAGATGTAATAGGACCCATTATCACCACACCAGAAATAAATATCTCTTTGATATCCCCAGGGTCAAACTTAATCTGTGTAAACACTCTATGCAAATTAAGGGACCTAGTCTATGGAACTCACTCCCTAGTGAATTGAAAAACTGTAAAACTTTTGCCTTATTTAAAAGCAAAGCCAAAAGTACCTAACTTCATCTATTTAGTTTCCTACACTGAGCTTTAAATTTGCTCTGTACCTAGTGGTACCCAATCTCCTAATTTTTATGTGATATCAAACCTTATCATTGTGTTCATTGCTGTCTTCTTTTATGTGCTAGCCATATGCTGTATTGTGACTACCAATTTTGTCAACTACCATTCAAGCTGTCATTGCAATCAATCTTATATTGTTTCTGCTGTATTGTGCCTACCAATTTGTTGTCAACTACCATTTTAAGCTGTCATTGCAATCAATCATAGCTACCTATGTGCTTTAATATACTGTACCTATAATTTTCTCTCATCTTTTTTTTTTTTTTCATTCCATGTAATCTGTTATCATTTTTTTGTCTATAAATTTTGCAAGTATTTACCTCCTTAAAATTTTCTTAGATTAAGGACCTGCCCGAAACGCTGCGCGTGCTAGTGGCTTTACAAGACTGTAATTACCATATTTGTATCCTCACATTCCTTATGTACATTCTTGTATATGCATAAATAAATAAATAAATAAATAAATAAAAGTTTTTTTTAATGGGTCTTAGGCACGGCCGCCGCTTTAACCAGCTTAGCTACAGAGAGAGAGAGAGAGAGAGAGAGAGAGAGAGAGAGAGAGAGAGAGAGAGAGAGAGAGAGAGAGAGAGAGAGAGAGAGAGAGAGAGAGAGAGAGAAAGAGTGAAACCCACAAAATAGTATATTTTTATCCTATACACACACACACACACACACACACACACACACATACACACACACACACACATACACACACACACACACCCCCAAACACACCCACACACACCCACACAAACACACACACACACACACACACACACTCACATACACACACATACACACACCCCCAAACACACACACACACACACACAAAACAACATTCTCACGATGACACGACCAACAAGCTTATCTCAAGGACCAGATCTCAAGATGCTACTCCCCCCCACACTCCATACCAGCATCTTCGACACTAATACACCTTCCTACTGCCAGGTAAGACAACCCTCATTTGCATAATGATATTGTATAGATTAGTATTTTTTTAGTGTATTTCATGATACATTTACTGAACATGATGTTCCAGTGGTTTTGTATGGGAGGAGAATGTGATTTTGTGTAAATATATACAATGTGTATTGTGTTGGTATCCCTGGTGTACTGGCGGTTGTGTACAGTACCCATGGTGTACTGGTGGTAGAGTACAGTACCCATGGTGTACTGGGGGTTGTGTACAGTACCCATGGTGTACTGGGGGTTGTGTACAGTACCCATAGTGTACTGGTGGTTGTGTACAGTACCCATGGTGTACTGGTGGTTGTGTACAGTACCCATGGTGTACTGGGGGTTGTGTACAGTACCCATGGTGTACTGGGGGTTGTGTACAGTACCCATGGTGTACTGGTGGTTGTGTACAGTACCCATGGTGTACTGGTGGTAGAGTACAGTACCCATGGTGTACTGGGGGTTGTGTACAGTACCCATGGTGTACTGGGGGTTGTGTACAGTACCCATGGTGTACTGGTGGTTGTGTACAGTACCCATGGTGTACTGGTGGTAGAGTACAGTACCCATGGTGTACTGGGGGTTGTGTACAGTACCCATGGTGTACTGGGGGTTGTGTACAGTACCCATGGTGTACTGGTGGTTGTGTACAGTACCCATGGTGTACTGGTGGTAGAGTACAGTACCCATGGTGTACTGGGGGTTGTGTACAGTACCCATGGTGTACTGGGGGTTGTGTACAGTACCCATGGTGTACTGGTGGTTGTGTACAGTACCCATGGTGTACTGGGGGTTGTGTACAGTACCCATGGTGTACTGGTGGTTGTGTACAGTACCCATGGTGTACTGGTGGTTGTGTACAGTACCCATGGTGTACTGGGGGTTGTGTACAGTACCCATGGTGTACTGGTGGTTGTGTACAGTACCCATGGTGTACTGGTGGTTGTGTACAGTACCCATGGTGTACTGGGGGTTGTGTACAGTACCCATGGCGTACTGGGGGTTGTGTACAGTACCCATGGTGTACTGGTGGTTGTGTACAGTACCCATGGTGTACTGGGGGTTGTGTACAGTACCCATGGTGTACTGGTGGTTGTGTACAGTACCCATGGTGTACTGGGGGTTGTGTACAGTACCCATGGTGTACTGGTGGTTGTGTACAGTACCCATGGTGTACTGGTGGTTGTGTACAGTACCCATGGTCTACTGGTGGTTGTGTACAGTACCCATGGTGTACTAATAGTTGAGTTCAGTGCTTCATACACATCGAGCAGACGAATTTAATAATGATATCTTGATATATATATAACGTCACTATCCCCCCCATTCATCACCATCACTACCCCCCCCCAATTCATCATCACAATCATCTCTCACGTTCATCATCAGTTCGCTAACCTATTTATTCTTCCCTATAGCAAGTGACGATGTGGGGTACAATCGCTCTGGCTGTGACTGTGTTGGTCATTCTCTGCTGCATGGCTAACTTCAGACCTTCTGGCTTCCCACAAGGTCACTACTGTCTCGTTTGGTCTTTTGGTCTATCAGCCTCTGGAGGGTTATTAAGGTCTATCAGCCACTGGAGGGTTATTAAGGTCTATCAGTCACTGGAGGGTTATTAAGGTCTATCAGCCACTGGAGGGTTATTAAGGTCTATCAGTCACTGGAGGGTTATTAAGGTCTATCAGCCACTGGAGGGTTATTAAGGTCTATCAGTCACTGGAGGGTTATTAAGGTCTATCAGCCACTGTAGGGTTATTAAGGTCTATCAGCCACTGTAGGGTTATTAAGGTCTATCAGCCTCTGGAGGGTTATTAAGGTCTATCAGTCACTGGAGGGTTATTAGGGTCTATCAGCCTCTGTAGGGTTATTAACGTCTATCAGTCACTGGAGGGTTATTAGGGTCTATCAGCCTCTGTAGGGTTATTAAGGTCTATCAGCCACTGTAGGGTTATTAAGGTCTATCAGCCACTGTAAGGGTTATTAAGGTCTATCAGCCACTGTAGGGTTATCAAGATCTATCAACCACTGTAACGTTAATAAGGTCTATCAGCCTCTGACTATAGGCAGTATATATGGTATAGACTGGTTGTTCCACCTTAGTTTTGCAAATGATATGGGACATAACAAGACATAACCATATATGCCAATAATTGGATGCTTGTTTGATGTGCAGTACTTCGGCTATATCTAATCTCCAATTATCGCCGAATTTGACTAGAAATCAGGTGTTGGTGGCCAGGATATCTCCAGTGATGATTTGGTTATCTATAGATATGTGATCTTTAACAGACCAGATCTTTCTTTGCTAGCTCGCGGGGGTCGAGCTCTGGCTCTTTGGTCCCGCCTCTCAACTGTTAATCAACTGGTGTACAGGTTCCTGAGCCTATTGGGCTCTATCATATCTACACTTCAAACTGTGTATGGAGTCAGCCTCCACCACATCACTGCCTAATGCATTCCATTTGTCAACCACTCTGACACTAAAAAAGTTCTTTCTAATATCTCTGTGGCTCATTTGGTGTGATTAATTCCACCAGAATAGTGGACAGAGAGAGAGAGACAATTGGAAACTGGACATAGCCGAAACATTTGACATCAAACATAAGCCATACAACTCATAAACTCTAAATTTTTATTGAGGAAAAGTACATAGATGAGTTAGAAATATAATGTTGGGTTTGTAGATAGAGTTAGTACATACAATACCTAAAGCCACTAGTACACATAGCGTTTCGGTCTACATAAAGAGCTACATATGTGCGTACTACCATCTACTGTATAATGCAACAGTTTAGCTGTTCATAGGAAGGATGTATTCTTGTATTAAATGAATTGTATTGTTGTATTATGGGGTGAGTCACCGTCAACTTGTGAGGAGTTAGCCAACTGTTGTGGGTTGTATCCTAGGGAATTATTACCATTACTGTTGTATTATAATCAATACATAAAGAAATCCCAATATTGCACATCTGCTATTCCCCAGAACGCTCGGTCAAACCCCTAGACTGTTCCAACAAAGTTTAATAACAATCCCAAAACTACTTCAGTATACCCAAAACTTTCATTTACAGAAAACCAGATTTTTTCAAAGAAAACATATTTTAGCGTATCCTATTTTATATTTTAATTTTTCTCATATTTTCTTTTTCTCCCTCTAACTACAGGACCTTTCGCCTTGCCTCTCCTGGGAAACATTGTCTCTATCCTCCTTTACAGCCCGCCGGTGGCGCTGCAGAAGTTCGCTGACAAGTATGGAGGCATTCTCAGCTTCAAGACCTTCGGTAGATGGTTAGTTCGTGGTTTCTAATTGATATATTTATTTCTGTGTGTGTATATCACGAAAATAAACACGTGATTAAAAATGTGCCAGTGTCAGACCACGGAGGAAAATTGGAACAGGAATTTCCTTAAGTACTTTCGTATATTAATACATCTTCAGAAGGAGTCCTTCTGAAGATTTAATATACGAAAGTACTTAAGGAAATTCCTGTTTCAATTTTCCTCCGTGGTCTGACACTGGCATATTTTTTTATATATATAAAAGAAGGTACATTGGGATTGTGAGGATACATAGAGCATAGTAATTATATTCTTGTAAAGCCACTAGTACACGCAGCGTTTCGGGCAGGTCCTTAATCTACACTTTCGCGCTTGAGGAGTTCTGAAAAAAAAATACTCAATGTGCTTTCGGCGTTGCGCGCGCCTAAGCGGTAAGACCGAAAAGTGTATACTCTTTTGACTGTCCTGACACTAATTGTAGGCGCACGTATTTAAATTTAGTATCACTGTGTTCGCAATAGAATTGTCTATAAGAACATACCTATAAAATGCCGCCAAAGCATAAGGTATATCAACACCAAATAAAAACCTATTCAAATCACTTGCCGAGAGCGCCAAACAGCAACAAAATGTTTCCACTCTCTTAATGGTTGTGAAGCCCACACTTGTGCTACAGCGTTAATTTTGGTATCCCTGAAATCGCAATAAAATTCTCTACACGAACATATGCATATAAATATAGATTCAATGTCGTAGCCCACCCAAAACAGTGCGAACTGGCCGAAGTGTTTCCCGCGGCGGCATATCGGCGAAACTCGCTTTGAAAAGTGTATATTCAATTCACTGTCCTGACATTATTTTTCGATGTATGTATATCATTTTTGTTCCTATGTGTTCGCAATAGAATGTTCTATAAGAACATAAGTATTAAAGGTCACATAAGGATGCGTTCGATCGGCAACATATATAAAAACTACGTCGATTATACTCGTCGCGTCATTAATACAATTGTTTTACCACGATGATTCACTGCCACGCCGTTCTCTTTAATAAGCTGTTCGGCTATTAGAGAAAACGTAAATTTCATGGCAAACATTTGTAAACTATTCCCAAGTTGATCGGATAATAAATGGATTTTATACAATATTTCTTCTCGTGACTCGCGAGCGCGGCACGCCAGCGTAGTCAGTAGGAACGTTGGTGACGACTATGTTGTCACCAAAGCACGAAAGTGTAATTAAATTAATTAATTAATTAAATTAATCTAAGAAAATCTAAGAAATTTTGTGTTTCTGCCCGAAACGCTTTGCGTAATAGTGGCTTTAGGCATTGTATGTACTAGCTCTTATCTATAAATCCACCAATGTTTGTATCACATCTTGGATGTATGTACTTTACCTGAATAGACATTTGAATTTAGTCCTTTCAACATGTTGACTTGAAAGGGAAACAAACTCTTTGTAATCATTGATAAAATCTTTCGGTCAAAGCGGAGGACTCGAACCTGGAGCCCGTCTTCAGAGTAAATCCATTACCGTGAGAACACCCCCCCCACCCATCAAACCACTTAGATAGCTAACTAGCTGGTCTGGAAACTAGTTAACTAGATGGTTATAACTTATCTGTGATGGTCTGAAAGCATATTAGAGTGTCAGTATTAGTCTACATGTAAACTCGCAAGTGAATTTTTGTCCTAAACAGAGATTATTCTCAAGTTATGTCTTTATTGTATTATAAATCACTGGTTTAAGATATATAAACTATATGCTGAAAATGTTTTCTTTGAAGAATTTGGTTTTCTGTAAATGGAATTCTCGGGTACACTGAAATAATTTCCGATTTCCATATTTCACATTATCGTCAATAATATATTTACTAACGTAACCAAACGTAATGAAACTTAACCTAACCCATTCTAACCAGACCTTAACTTAACCTAACTATGGATAGAAAGTGCTGAGCAAACCATGTTGAGCACATACCCAACAGCAATGACTGTTAAAAATTGTGTGAGGCTGGCGCCAAGTTTCTGGCCTCGAACCTTGACCACACATCCCATCAATATGCATATGAATGATGTTTTTGTTACAATATTTTCTAAACTGTACTGTTAATCATGTTTATAATGTTTTGGAAGGAATGTGTTAATCACTGACGTGGAGATCATGAAGACAGCGCTGGCCTCTTCTGTCTTCTCTGATCGCATTGATTTGCTGCTCTTTGATGTCAGAGACCAGATCATCATGGGAGACAAATGGGCTCGTCTAGGTGAGTTGCTGCGGCTCTGACAACACAGGAGATAAGATATATACAAGAGTTGTTACATTCTTGTACAGCCACTAGTACGCGTAGCGTTTCGGGCAGGTCCCTGGAATACGATCCCCGCCGCGAAGAATCGGTGTTACATCCAAGTACACATTTTACTGTTGCGTAACATGTACACGTACGTACGTACGTGTACACAAAGTACATGTACACAAAGTACATGTACAATGTACACAAGCTTGTGTGGAAGGTAGTAAAGGAATAGTTTGTAGTTTTACGATATGGTATTAGATCCCGTATGAACTCTTTTTCAGTGGTAGTAGATCCACATACTAGTAACTATGGATAGTAGCATTTCTCCATGTCTCTCTAAAGAAGCAGATGACTAGTCTCTTGTTACTCTTCCCGTTTTCATTAAAACAGGACTTTCATAGCATTAGCCTTATACAAGAGTCGTCGTCTAGCAGAGTCCCCCATCATGTCCAGAAGACAGAAAACGGATCATCGATCAGGATTTTTCATTTTCGATCAGGATTTCCATGTTTTACATAATAAGTCGTCTCAGCGTTAACTCCTTCGTCTGCCACTCCCTCAGGTATCATCAGCACCAGCGGGGAGGTGTGGAAGAATCAGCGACGCTTCACGTTGAGGTCCCTGAAGGACCTGGGCTTCGGTCGCCAGAGTATTGAACCCATCATGAGGAGCGAACTGGAGGACCTCCTGGAATACTTCAGCCGAAGACAAGGCCAGAAACTGGACATTGGAGTGAGTACCTTTCTTCTACATTGTTGGATTGAGCTCCTTTACCAAGGGTAGTATAACCAAGGCTAGTCCAACCAAGGCTAGTCCAATCAAGGCTAGTCCAACCAAGGCTAGTCCAACCAAGGCTAGTCCAATCAAGGCTAGTCCAATCAAGGCTAGTCCAACCAAGGCTAGTCCAACGAAGGCTAGTCCAACCAAGGCTAGTCCAACCAAGGCTAGTCCAACCAAGGATAGTCCAACCAAGGCTAGTCCAACCAAGGGTAGTCCAACCAAGGCTAGTCCAACCAAGGCTAGTCCAACCAAGGCTAGTCAAGAAAGTATAATGTCTAATCCCTGTTTACAATCTTCTCCTTACAGCTGGTGTTCAACAAGAGCATTGTGAACGTCATCTGGGCCTTGGTTATAGGCAAAAGGTTTTCCCACACTGATGCTCGACTTCACCAACTAGTAGACAAGGTGAACAAGATGATCCAGTCCTTCAACCCCTTCCATCCTGCGCTCCAGTAAGTTACATGTCACTTTTATCCTGGAGGATCATGTCGTGGAGGAACATGCCCTGACATGCTGCTCTGAGGGCATGTCGTGGAGGAACATATCCTGACATGCTGCTCTAAGGGGATGGGGGGTTGGCTTCATATAAGATATAGATGAGATATATCTATGTTAAAAATGATGTAGTTTGTTAAGGAAACTATCCTTATTAAGTCTACTCATAGCCCAGTCGATAGAGCTTCGGCCTTACACACACGCCTGGGCACCACGGTTCGAGCCCCCCCAACAGCCCAGGCGAATAATATGTGTATCTCCACATAAATGTGGATGACAATTTATTTTCAGGACTTAATGTTTTATTCACGTGGTTCTTGTTCTCTTATTATCATAATTACTGTTGTTATTATATGTTAACTTTCTTTTTGTCTCATTCACAGGTCCTAATTGTTTGTTTGTTTACAGATGGCGTTGGTTTAAGAAGCTCTTCCCGAACTTGAAGATCATTCGGGAGACTGAAGGATACATGGTGGACTTTCTCAAGTTCATTGAGGTTGGTTGAGGCAGACAAAGCCAGATTCACGAAGCAGTTACGCAAGCACTTACGAACCTGGGGCCAGATTCACGAAGCAGTTACGCAAGCACTTACGAACCTGGGGCCAGATTCACGAAGCAGTTACGCAAGCACTTACGAACCTAGGGCCAGATTCACGAAGCAGTTACGCAAGCACTTACGAACCTAGGGCCAGATTCACGAAGCAGTTACGCAACCACTTACCAACCTGGGGCCAGATTCACGAAGCAGTTACGCAAGCACTTACGAACCTGTCCATCTTTTCTCAATCTTTAGCGGCTTTGTTTACAATTATTAAACAGTTAATGAGCTCCGAAGCACCAGGAGGCTGTTTATAACAATATCAACAGTTGATTGGCAAGTTTTCATGCTTGTAAACTGTTTAATAAATGTAACCAAAGCCGTCAAAGATTGAGGAAAGATGTACACGTTCGTAAGTGCTTGCGTAACTGCTTCGTGAATCTGGTCCAAGGCGTCTAAGGGAGTGTTGGTTTGTGTTAATGACAGTTATCAAGTTACTTAAATTACACACTCACTGGAGAAGGCAAGACTTGTAAGACTCGTCCATTATTTAGATTCTATAACAAGATGATATAGAAGAAGTATAGAAGGTGAATTGCATCTTCCTTGACTACCAAAAATTGCTTGATATTGTACGGTATAGGAGGTTCCTACAGAACAAAGTGATAGGACTCTCTTGACCCTCCCAATCACTTGGGGTGGACGGTAGAACGACGGTCTCCTTCATGCAGGTCGGCGTTCAATCCCCCGACCGTCCATACAAGTGGTTGGGGCACCATTCCTTTCCCCCCGTCCCATCCCAAATTCTTATCCTGACCCCTTCCCAGTGCTATATAGTCGTAATGGCTTGGTGCTTTCCCCTGATAGTTCCTGTCTTGACCTTGACCCATGAATGACCCTTGACCCCATGAATGACCCTTGACCCATTCAAGTGAACTGTCTCATAACCTTCAGTATAGTTCCTGGTCATTCTCTTTTTCGCGAAGTCTTGGATACGTGTCCGAAATAAAATCATTGTTTAAATTATTATTATTACAACTTTGATCTGTATAAATTTGAATCAGATCGAGAGTGTGACCTGTCAGTCTAAAGGGAGATGAAGCAGTCTGTCCTTCTAAGGTTTCCCAATGACAAGAAAACGTGGTCAATTTAAAGTGGTTTCTCCTAACTTACTAGAGGATCCAAAAGAGAAAACGGGACAGTACGTCACTTCCGCCAGCCGCTTCCATTTTCTAGTACAAGTTTTGCCTTTATGTAACGCATAAGAGTGAAATGCGACGTTGTGTGTAGGAGGCCAGGTTGGGTGGTGACAGACTGATATTCACAGGAGGAGATGGCCCAGCACCAGCTGGAGACTGGCGGGGTGGATGACAGCACCAGCTACATCGGCGCCTACCAGCTGGAGATGAAGGAGGCGGCGCAGGAGGGCCGGGAAACGCCCCTTACACGTGAGTCTGATCTCAATAGTCTCACTCTGAATTTATCGAATGTTTTTCAGATTATATTCCAATATTAAAAGACAAAGACAAACTTGATAACAAATAAAATGTAAAGATAATTGACAAAAATGAGTGTGACCAGGGAATCATGACTCAGCACTTGGATATCACTGGCTATATATATATAATAACATAGTTTTCTATTTTGGTGTTGCTGCCCTCAGTACCTCACCTTAAGGCCAACGTCCTGGAGCTGTTTCTGGCGGGAAGTGAGACGACCTCCACCAGTCTATGGTGGGCCGTGTACTTGCTGGCCAGTAACCCGAAGGTCCAGCAGACCATGCAGGAGGAGCTGGACCAGGTGGTGGGCCGCGATAACCTGCCCACTTTGGACCACATGGACAGGTAAGATAGCAAGTTGTCACATGTCGTCTCCTCATTAGCAGTCTCCGTGGTGTAGTGGTAAGACACTCGCCTGGCGTTTCGCGAGCGCTATGTCATGGGTTCGTATCCTGGCCGGGGAGGATTTACTGGACGCAATTCCTTAACTGTAGCCTCTGTTTAACGCAACAGTAAAATGTGTACTTGGATGAAAAAACGATTCTTCGCGGCAGGGGATCGTATTCCAGGGACCATAGGATTAAGGACTTGCCCGAAACGCTACGCGTACTAGTGGCTCTACAAGAATGTAACAACTCTTGTATATATCTCAAAAAAATAAAAAATAAACAGATTTAAACGAGTCACCCCTCGGATATAGTGGCTGAGGGGTGACTCGTCTAAATCATCGTGTCACACACTAAGTGCATGATATTTCTTAAATGTGTACCTAAGTCTCAGAGAAAACTGTGCTAAGACGCTTGTAGTTGCAGTTAACACCCTCACCAACTCACGATCCGGGTTCGAACCCTGGGTGCGACTGAAAATCACTCTATAACTGTTGGCCCCTGTTCACCCAGCAGTAATAGAGGAGGTGGTTGTAAAGCAATTAGCCTCTAGTGTTCTACGGGGGGACACAGCAACTATGCCAAGGCACAGAATGAGTTAGCAAACTGGAATCCAAAGACTTATGCTCCTATACCTTCTAGTAGTGGAAAAATACATCCTTCTATTGGCAGCAAGTGAGGTAGGGGAAGGATTTCAAGAAGGGGGGAGTCGGGTAGGATCCCCAATGGGGGGGGGGGAAACAGGATCCAATGTGGGGAAGGGAACTGTCAGGAGAAAGCGCCAAGCCATTACGACTATATAGCCCTTGGAAGGGGTCAGGATAAGGATTTGGGATGGGACGGAGGGAAAGGAATGGTGCCCCAACCACTTGTATGGACGGTCGGGGGATTGAACGCCGACCTGCATGAAGCATTTTGGTTTTATCTGTTGATGATCGAATTATATTTCTACATCTTTACTCGAATCTTATCAACTGTTATCAAGTTTACTTTCTCCTCCAAAAATGATTATTTGCCCTTTAGAAATACTTGAACATTTGTGAACTTGATTTAAGAGTTTCTACTTCCTTCTACAGCGTACCTTACACGACGGCTGCTATCTACGAGGTGCAGCGGGTGGGGGACCTCGTCCCAATCTCTATCCCACACCAAACGTCCCAGGATACTGTCCTTGGTGAATACAATATCCCCAAAGGTCAGGCTCTATCCATCCCGTCCTCTCATCAAGTAGCATACTGATGTTCCCAAACCTCTCACATATTAGTGTTCCAAATACGAACCTTTCACGTACCTTCATGATTTCCTCTCGACCAAAAATGAACAATTCAAATGTTGACCAGACCACACACTAGAAGGTGAAGGGACGACGACGTTTCGGTCCGTCCTGGACCATTCTCAATCGACTTGAGAGAATGGTCCAGGACGGACCGAAACGTCGTCGTCCCTTCACCTTCTAGTGTGTGGTCTGGTCAACATACTTTAACCACGTTATTGCGACCCATCGCCTACAATTCAAATTCCATTGTTTACATTCCATTCTTCTCTGTGTGTGACAGGAACGTGCGTCTTGTTCAACCTGTCAGGCGCTCTGAAGGACCCCAGGTACTGGAAGCACCCAGATAGGTTCTGGCCGGAACACTTCCTGACCCCTGAAGGGAAGGTCTTCAAGCCCGAGCCCTTCCTGCCCTTCGGCTCCGGTGAGGGATGTTGTGATGGGTGTTTGTGTGTTGTGGAGAGACCGCAAGGTGAAGGGGGAGGAGAGAGAGAGAGAGAGAGAGAGAGAGAGAGAGAGAGAGAGAGAGAGAGAGAGAGAGAGAGAGAGAGAGAGAGAGAGAGAGAGAGAGAGAGAGAGAGAGAGAGAGGGGGGGGAGGAAGAGACCAAAAGAGAGGGGAAAGTTAAAAAGGAGATGAGAGAAAGACAAAAGGGAAAAAATAATTGAAGCACAAAATGTAAGCAGTAAGAGAAAAACAGACAGGTAAATCCAGACAGATAAAGACAAAATGACAGTCACCAAAATACATATATAAAAAACCTGCCAAAAAATACATGTTACCAAATCCTTGATAGCCCCAGAAAGCTCTCACTTAAACACCTGTAAACACCACCACCTAATAACCATCATTCCCCAGTACCGAGACCTTTGTGACGGCGAAGCGTAAGTATGAGATCAATACTAATGTTTACTCATGTCAACGAAGCTTCTCGGGTTAACACCTTCGACTTCCCAACCCGAACGAAGCTTCTCGGGTTAACACCTTCGACTTCCCAACCCGAACGAAGCTTCTCGGGTTAACACCTTCGACTTCCCCACCCGAACGAAGCTTCTCGGGTTAACACCTTCGACTTCCCCACCCACAGGTAAACGAGTGTGTCTTGGGGAGTCGCTGGCCCGTCTCGAGCTGTTCCTCTTCATCACGACGCTGGTACACAAGTTCTCCTGGAGGCTCTCAGACGACCCCGTCGTCTGGCACAAGAGTAACATCGTTACCCGACCACCTTCCTATACAGTCGTCGCTACTAGCAGGAAGGACGACCCCACACCCACCCTCAAGCGATAAGATGGTGGTGCATTGTTTCAGGCGTAGGTTACACGCCTGAAATAATCCATATATCCGCCCGAAACGCTGTGCTTACTATAGTGGCTTTACAAGAATGTAAACACATAATGCTATGTACTCTCATAAACCCAATGTAACTTCGTGTATATATATATATATATATATATATATATATATATATATATATATATATATATATATATATATATATATATATATATATATATATATGGTATCCCTATTGTCACTCATTATACTTTATACACTCGATATACTTGGCCAATATACTTTCAGTAATGAGGAAATGTTATAGCAATGAACTGGGATTGAACATGCGTCTCTGCACTCTCCAGAAACAGTCAAAGACGAGAGTTCAATCCCATCACATTGAAATATTTCCTTAAATACATCACATTATCTTTTTTTGTATTGCCTATAGATATCCATGGATATCTTGGTAAGCTGTGGGGAAAAGATACCATGTCTCTTCTATCAAATTCAAAGTAAAGAAAGAAAAGGGTAATTCTATCCTATTCCTCTATGTAACTTTAAAGTCTCCTCTAAGTAACTTTGTGTAAGGTTCGGCCAGTGGATAAGGCCGATCAAAAGCCCAATTATTTATTTATTATTTATTTATTTATATACAAGAAGGTACATTGGGTTTGTGAGAATACATAGCATAGTATTTACAATCTTGTAAAGCCACTAGTACGCGCAGCGTTTCGGGCAGAATCAATTATGAATCAGTCGGTTAAGCACAGTTGTACATGGGTCAGCAACTGGCAGGGTGACTATGTAAACAGCTTCACCTTTGGCTAGGAAAATCTCGAGTTAAAATAACCAACAACTATTCCATGAAGAAACCCACAAGAGCCGTGACGAGGATTCGAACCCGCGTCCAGAATCGCTCGGGGGGCATTCTCCAGATACCTAAGTCACTGGTAAAAATTATAATAAACATAGAAATTGGATGTCGTCGATGGTAAACTTAAATAAAATTGGCGAGATCATTACATTTTAGTAATTCCAATTATCTTTATTATCAGTAACAGTATAACTAGTTTTTTCTACGAAATAATCTCATAATAATTCATTGTGTCGAGAGGGGACAGATAGCCAGTGTATATATACAACTTAAGCTTATATCGTGAGCGAATTACTGACCCAAAATACAATACCCCCCTAACCAGCTGACTAACTCCTGGCTACCTATTTACTGCTAGGTGAACAGGGGCATGAGGTGATAGGAAAAGCGCCCAATTATTTCTGTCCTAACCGGGATTCGAACCCGGATATTCCAATTGTGAGTCGAGACCGAACCCGACTGTACCACCGTACTATATCATTGCTAATCACCACTTGGGAGAAATTATATATATATATATATATATATATATATATATATATATATATATATATATGTATATATATATATATATATATATATATATATATATATATATATATATATATATATATATATATATATATATATATATATATATATGATGATGATAACAGTATTAGCTCTGTTACTAACGAGGACAGACAATGAACTCGTACATATAATGAGTTTACTCATATAATGATCTTATGCGTGTATATATAATGAGACTGAGGACACAATGAGCGTGTACGAGGGAGAGTGAGAACGCTTGTATTGTGAGGTGAGAGTGAGTAACGCATCATCAACCACCAGGTGTGAATTGCAAAGGCTTATTCCTCCTCCAAAAGGATATTGATCGAATATCCCCCCTCTCCCCCCCCACCCCCCACCCATCTAATCCCCAGCCTGTCTCGAGTATCACTTCAACTTAACCCTCGAGCTCTTTGAAGGATACCAAGTAGAAGAATAATGATCGCGTTTATATATTTCGTTCAGGACTAGAGCATTAGTGTGTGGATTTTGCTGCTTATTAGGAGCAAAACGGTACAATTGTATTAATTTCTTAGCAATATGCTATCAGAAGAGAAGAAAATAGAGATTTCAAGCAAAAGAGAGAGAGAGAGAGAGAGAGAGAGAGAGAGAGAGAGAGAGAGAGAGAGAGAGAGAGAGAGAGAGAGAGAGAGAGAGAGAGAGAGAGAGAGAGAGAGAGAGAGAGAGAGAGAGAGAGAGAGAGAGAGAGAGAGAGAGAGAGAGAGAGAGAGAGAGGAATACGTCCTGTCGCCTCAAGCGCGGCAGACAGACTGAGCCAAGACCAGTGGGCGTGGCTTGTCCTCCCAAGGCCTCGACTCGCGGATGGATCTAAAGAATGTTTTATATTCCAAATGTATGCTTATTTATGCCCGGAGGAGTCGAACCGGAGTCCTGGTCTGAATTATGGAAGTCACACTATATTGGGAAGGAATTTATGTCTTTGCTCTCAGAATATTTGAATTATGCGGGAAGGTTTACCGGGCGGCCCCGTCTAGTGCTGCCGCCTAGCGGGGCGCGGCCGAGTCTCTCAACCGTCACGCCATCCAAACAGACTTTTAATGTTCCACTAAAAATATTATAGTTCGTGGTGACTGCGGTTATGCTTCGTGCCAACAGTGGTGTTTCTCGGTGCTGAACACGAGCGGAGGAGGAATAAAAGATGATTTCCTCGACGAGTTGAGGTTTGGAAGTAGAATTCAGGGCGCAGGAGATGGCAGGTCATTGTGGCGGGAAGATGGCCCCGCCCCGCCTCCACCCGCCCGACTTCAGGTAAGGCCGACCTCAAGGAGTTAGTCGGCTGAAAGTGATGTCTTGGCCACACTCCTAAGAAACTCTCAGGTTGTACTTGTATCATTATCCACCCCTGATGTAACACTTGCCCTCATTGGCGAAACTTATCGGCCCATTTAGTAGAATCCACCTCGTGATTGGTTCCCAACGCACCAAATCACGACTCTTGATTGGATAATTCATAGTGGGCGGAGCTGGCGAGTTTGCCGGCATGTGATTGGTTACGGTGCGGGTTATGGGCGGGGCGCGCGAGTGCCACTTAGTGTGACAAACGCTGACAAGTGTTTTCCCTGAAGGCCTTTCATGGCTGGCGACACAAATTGACTGCAATAAAGACAAAGGGCTTGGCGCCATTAGGGGAGCGAAGACAAAGAGGAGGCGGCGTTGACGTCTGCCTTCTTAATTAAGCCACTAGATGGCAGTGTTTTGCAGGCGCCTGGCTAATTGGGCGTTCTGGAGTAATTGGGGACTCTTGGGCCTGTCTGGTGGATTACAGACGCGGGATAAGAGGCTTTACGGTATCAAAGACAGCGTAAATGAATGCCAAATTGAATGCAGGAGAGAGAGAGAGGGAGAGGGGATAGGAGGGACGTAATTGTGTGGAGGAGGATAGGGTTAATGGCCTGTATTTACCCCGGTAATCTCATCTAGATGTGCTTGCAGGGGTGAACTTCAGCTCCTAAGCCTCGCCTTTCGGTACTTTTGGAGTTTAGTGAAATAATCTTGTTTTTCTTGAATATATAAGTTTCTTAAGCATGATTTCTCTTCGTTGTAGCTATGTAGATGTTTGGATGCACAATTGAGCTGTTCTGAGTGTTTTGCTTGTATGATTGGGGTCTCCAATCATACCAATCCTAACCCCCAATCCTATCGATTGGGGTTAGGAGGTCTGTCTCGCAAGTAACTTGAATGGGATAGTTGTTAGTGATAGTTGTTAGCGTCTAACCATCGGGTCTGATGGTTAGGAGTTCTTGTGCAATGTTCTGGAGAAAATTATCGTTAATTATTGATCAAGAGCCAGAGATAACTGCCTCATTAACTTTCCAGAGGTTATCTTGAGATGATTTCGGGGCTTTTAGTGTCCCCGCGGCCCGGTCCTCGACCAGGCCTCCTCGGGCCTGATAGGTTGATAGATCTTCAGCTCAACACCACACCTTTACTATATAAATGAACAAATCCACAAGGGCCGTGACGAGGATTCGAACCTACGTCTGAGAGTATCCCAGACGCTGCCTTAATCGCCTGAGCTACGACATGGTAAATGTCTTGTATGTCCTCTACCATATCTTGAGGTTATCTTGAGATGATTTCGGGGCTTTAGTGTCCCCGCGGCCCGGTCCTCGACCAGGCCTCCACCCCCAGGAAGCAGCCCGTGACAGCTGACTAACACCCAGGTACCTATTTAATGCTAGGTAACAGGGGCATTCAGGGCGAAAGAAACTTTGCCCATTTGTTTCTGCCTCGTGCGGGAATCGAACCCGCGCCACAGAATTACGAGTCCTGCGCGCTATCCACCAGGCTACGAGGCCCCCAAACACACACCATGAGGTCAATATTCCCCTTCTCCACACGGGAGACATCTCCCGTCACGCAGGGTGCAGTCGCACCTCCACAGATCTCCAGTATCAGCTCTTGATACTGGTAATGGCTCAAAAGGGCCACCACTTACGGGCTATTCATGCCCGTGCCACCTTTTGGGTGGCTTAATCTTTATCAATCATCACCATGAGGTGTGTTTCCTACAAGGTCAAGCAATAGCTCTCACACCATGTCATGATGGTCATGACACAGGTCATGATGGATATTGTCACCCAAAAGTGCCAGGAAGCTGCAGACAGGTTTATCCCCGTCCAAAAGGAGAAAAACGAAAAACAACAGAAAAACCCATGGTTCAACCAGGAATGTAAGGTAGCGAAACAACTGAGTAAAAGAACATGGAGAAACTACAGAAATAACAGAACACCAGAGAGCAGGGAGAGGTACCAGAGGGCCAGAAATGAGTACATCAGAGTGAGGAGGGAAGCAGAGAGACAGTTTGAAAATGACATCGCGAGTAAAGCCAAGACCCAACCAAAGCTGCTCCACAGCCATATCAGGAGGAAAACAGCAGTGAAGGAACAAGTGATGAAGCTGCGGAAAGGGGAGAACAGATACACAGAGAATGACAAGGAGGTGTGTGAAGAACTCAACAAGAGATTCCAGGAGGTCTTCACAATAGAACAAGGAGAAGCCCCTGCACTAAATGAGGAGGCGGCAACCTTGGAAACCTTGGAGGAATTTGACCTCACCAGTGATGAGGTCAAAAGGTGTCTGCTGGAGCTAGATGTGACAAAGGCTGTTGGGCCTGATAGAATCTCACCATGGATACTAAAGGAAGGTGCAGAAGCACTAAGTGTGCCACTCTCTATGGTGTATAACAGGTCACTGGAAACAGGAGACTTACCAGAAAGTTGGAAGACAGCTAACGTGGTCCCAATATACAAAAAGGGTGACAGGCAAGAGGCACTGAATTACAGGCCAGTTTCCTTAACTTGTATACCATGCAAGGTGCTGGAGAAGATCGTGAGGAAAAGGCTCGTAGAGCATCTGGAGGGAAATAACTTTGTAACGCACCACCAACATGGGTTCAGAGATGGTAAATCGTGCCTCACAGGGTTAATAGAATTTTATGACCAGGCAACGAAAATTAGGCAGGAAAGAGAAGGGTGGGCCGACTGCATTTTCCTGGATTGCCAAAAAGCCTTCGACACAGTACCCCATAAAAGGCTGTTAAAAAAGTTGGAGCAACAGGCAGGAGTAAAAGGGAAGGTGCTCCAGTGGATAAGGGAGTACTTAAGCAACAGGAAACAGCGAGTAACGGTGAGGGGGAAGACATCAGAGTGGCGAGATGTCACCAGCGGAGTCCCACAGGGCTCAGTACTTGGACCCATCCTGTTTCTAATATATGTGAACGATCTTCCAGAGGGTATAGACTCATTCCTCTCGATGTTTGCTGATGATGCAAAAATTATGAGAAGAATCAAGACGGATGAAGATAGGCAGAGACTACAGGATGACCTGGATAAACTGGAGGAATGGTCTAGAAAATGGCTGCTGAAGTTCAACTCTGGAAAGTGTAAGGTGATGAAATTAGGCGAAGGGAGCAGGAGGCTGAACACAAGGTATCATCTGGGAGGGGAAATCCTGCAAGAATCAAATAGAGAGAAGGATCTGGGGGTTGATATCACACCGAACCTGTCCCCAGAGGCCCACATCAAAAGAATATCATCAGCGGCATATGCTAGACTGGCCAACATAAGAA